TGATTTCATTATTATAATTAATACATATTTCTATTGTATTGTTGAATTTTTGTTAACGTTTATTAAAAAAGAACAATTTCCATCAATAATTATTATTTAACTTAAAAGTAAGAAATTTATTTAGAAAGAATGAATTTATTAATGAAGTCCAGATGATTTTCAGTTAACCAAGTAGATGGCATTACTTACCGGACGATTTCGACGATATTTTTGAGGTTAGGAGAATTGACTTTTGGTTCGTTATGTTACGGCCGTATGGAGCGCAGCGGAAGACAGATGAAGTTGGCCATGGTAAGGAAATACGAGTTGACAGACCAGAAAAATGAGTTTGTCAATGTCAAAATTACTATTGGCGTCGACTCGTCTCATGCTTGCGTGTGGATATAAGTAACTGTGACAAAGGCAAAAATGGTATATATCTGTTGTGTGGCAGGGTGCCTTAATAGTAGTTTGAAAGGGTTCAAACTCTTTCATATACCAGAAGGTAAATCTTTTATAAACCATAATTATTATGAATAGTGAACTAGGCACCTAATTGTTTCAAAAATCGTTGTTTTAAATTTTAAGGTGAAAGAAATAAAAGAAAACGCTGCCAGTGGCTTCAAAGTATTTGTAAGGGCAAGGGAGATACTCACCACATGTGCATATGTCAGGTTATTACATCTCTATCTGCATAATTGTTATTATAATTGTTAGTAAATAGGTAAGTACTTAATTGTTTTTTAGATACATTTCAATGACAAAGATATTGGCAAGTCGAAGTGTGGAAAACTCAAATTACTACCAAATGCAGTACCCAGAACTCATCTTCCAAGAAAATGAGGTAAGATCAAAATCATAATATTAAATTCAAGTAGTGATAGAGTGTATAATACTTAATGGATACTTAATACTTGTCCCTCTAGCCTGAGTAAACCATATTTATTTAAATATTCAAAACTATCTCCTTATTTTTAACTTTATAATTATCCAGCCCTGAACTCATCATCCCCTTTCCCGCTTCATCACTTTCCTGCAAAACAATCTATAGTTTGTATTGACCGAGATTTAGAAAAACACGACATTTGTGAAAATAGTAAAAATTGTGCTTAAGGATTATTTAAATGTTAAAATGTTATATTCATAACACATTTTTTAGATTACGGATAAAAAAATTCCGAATTGGAAAACACAATTCAACCCCAATAAAAGCACGACATTCAATATTCTTGAGACATTTCTTTTTGTCGGTATTACAAAACTTTTGAAACATAGCATTTATATCGTTGCAGACATAATTCTGAATCATTTCAATGAGATATGTATTTTGGACTATTTTGAAACATGTCTGAAATATTTATGAAATATGAACAATAATTGACATTGAAGCATTACCGCCATTTTAGTCATTGCGCTTGCGCGTAAAAGCGCCATTTGCCATGCCATGCGCCATGGCTATTCCCATGGGGGTGTCGCATAAATGGAGAAATTGGAAACATAATTTTAAATTTCGCGGTAAACATACACCCCAGATAATCAACAATGTCAACCCATATATGGCAAAAATTGCATAAATAGCATGCGCAGCTTTGTGAAACGGTTAACGGTAGTGACAAGGGTAGTAACAGTTTTTTAAATGTTTTAGTTCGTCGATTTTTTGTGGCGGGTAATTAAAAAAACCCTATTGATAAGTATGTTGAATTCTTTTACGGTCCGAGCGGGTTTCGCCATAGAAGAATAAAATTTGTTTGAGGTAGGTTCTCCAGAGTTATTTTGTGGAGCCAATGACTTTGGGAAGATAAAGGATTTAAGCAGTCAAAATTCATGTGTTCGAAAATATTATTAACAATTTATTAAACTAATAATTAAGGATTTGGAAAGTATTACAAAGTAAAATTAAAAGAGAAAATTTACGTCTAGCGAAAACCCTTTCTGAGTTAAGGGGCTAACGTTAAGTTAAAGATTAATAAGAACAATTAATTCAAATGAAATCTTACTAGCTAAGTCCAATAATAATTAAGATAAACGAACAAACTATTTTAGCTTCTACTAACGAAGTCCAATTTTCATTGTTTGATTTACTAGGTTTTAAGGTAATCTAATAAGTAAAAGTGGGTGAACCTAAAATGATTATAAAATAAATCTAAAACTAGTGAGGCAAGAGGAGAAATAGTTCTAGGAAAGGTACAATCATTCAACAGCCAAAACCCCGTGGTTTCGGTTTAAACAGCTCGAATTACTAGATA